GTGTTTGGAAGTCGCAAAAAACTCAGTGTAGAATGTAAATATCTGGCGAATATAGGGCACGCTCAAAGTGTGTTGAGACCCGCCCACAGTGGGGCGGAGCTTGCCCTAAATCGCAGGGTATTCATTTTAAAAGTTTGTAGCTCGGTTCCAGAACACTCCAGACACCGGAAAAAAGTGGACTAAGGTCAGCAGAGGGTCGCCGTGAGGATTGTGGGGCAAAAACATTGTGGGCGGAGCCTGCTCCGAGGTGGGCGGAGTCAGACAAAAGATCTGCAAAACGGTCCCAGAGCACTTCAAAGACCGGAAAAAAGTGGATTAAGGTCAGCAGAGGGTCGTCGGTGAAGATTGTGGGGCACAAAAATTGTGGGCGGGTGTGAGATATGTGATTATTTGATTAATTGTATATATGACTTTTATTGTTTTGAATGTGACCCCATCATGATCATCGTTATGCTAGGTCATTAGCCATCGGATAGGCATGTGCCCGGGGACATTTACCTCATTATGGCGTCGCCGCGGGTTACAGATAATGGTCCCCCCATTGTGGGGGCCACCTATATATAGCGGGGTCAACTCGCTTATAGTAGTTCTAGCTCTATTGGATTCGTCTCATTGTTCCTGTATAGCCACGCCAGTTACTGCTGGCACATTCGCTGTTCTGTATTTGAAATAAATCTGATCATAATCGTCTCGTTTGACTCGAACGGTGTTCAGCCGAGTTCTACTTCGATCGAGGTATCTCGTCTATAATATCTCATCTAAAGAAGAAACCGAATATCGACTTGGGGGCCAAGCCGGTGATTGATTTCGGTTGCAGTTCGAGGCTCAGTTGGAAAACACGATGGACACGTCTACATCAATGGTGATCGGATTCGACCACAGTATGGAAGATCATCGTGAAGAAAATGCAACGCAGGCCCTCAGCGACTGGAATCAACTTAATGTAAGTTGTTCAATTGAGGAGTTGAATGCGGCATTTCGCAACGTCCTGGAGCGCCTAGATGATGTCCTAAGCGACCAAATTAGGCATATTTCTGCCATAAAGCGGCGAAATATTTTGGAAGTCGTTCGAGGCTCGCTCCAATGCGCAGTCATTAAGGTTAATGAAAACCTAGGATTAGGTGCGCCAGCGAACGAAGCATCAATTTTGGATGAGCTGCAGATGACGCAGACAGAACTGCGCGAGTTCTTACCGACAGTTAGCGGTCATAGCAGCACACTTTGCGAAATAGCCGCAAGTTTGGGTTGCGAAATAGGTGAAGTTTCCGAAATGGTTAAGAGCAAATGTGACATCATTTCGGAACTACAAGAAGACCTGGCAGCTGCGAAGCTGCACGAAATCAATCAGAATAATAAGATTGTCGATCTAGAGAATCAATTGAGACAATTGCAGGATCAGGTGGCAAGGATATCTACGGCACAATTAGCTGGAAATAGCAGTGCTACAGCTCACGGATCAGGTGAGAACTCGGACAAAACTGATAACTGGCGTGCGATACGCAGCCACTACAAGTCCTTAAAAGACGGAAAATTTAACGGTTCCGTTCAGGTGGATTTGAACGTCTTCCCCGACACGAGAGGTGGGCCACCGCAGGAATGGACCGCGCCATCCCGAGCATCGTCGCGTCAATCCTCACGACCGTCTTCCCAAAGCACGATGAGTGGTGAGTCCACTTCGGTTGCGTCTTATAATATGGGAGCAGAA